AAAATAATATACCAATCGATCTTCAAAAAAGGTAGGGCGCCCTGCAAACTGTAAAAAGGGCACAGGGCGGCACTCGGGAAAGGGCGGGCGGACCGCCCTGTGAAAACGACCTAGCTGGAACACTGAGTTTCTTTTACATAAAATGTATCTCAGCCTTTGTATTCCTGAATAAGGTGGTTTCGATGGCTGAGTGGTCTAAGTTGTCAGAACTACTATATCACTAGCCTGTCAACACTCAGGTGAGTTTAAATCCCTCACGTGGCAGGTTCACTCGACTCCAATCTTAATTAACTAGGATTGTCAGTTTTCTTACGGTACGTCTAAACACCGCTCAGGACCTCCTGAGTGCACTCAGGACATGAAATAGTTGTTTCAGTGAGTAGTGAAGGTATGCATTCGATAGATAATTTAATTCTCCATCTTATAATTTTTGTTTTGATAAAATCAATTTAATATTTAAGAAATTATTGAAGTTTTCATTGGCACGCGCTGATTTTATGAAATATGTCAGGCATGACCGATGATTATATTGAATATCAATTATCATGTTGATTAGGTCGTTTGATCTTTAATAATTAGGAGTGATTAGTAATGGTACTAACCTCATACAAGTAAGCTTGGCAAACAAACAAAACCAAGATGTCTTTTGAAAAATAAAGAACAATGAAGATATATTGTTTTAGAAAAAAATGTTAAATAAACTTTTGGTTTTGTTTGTAATAATTGAAGCCATTTGAGAAATATGAGAAATCTACATATAGTTGGGAAATTTTAATTCAATTCATTTCATTTGAAAACGTTCAAAAATATCGATATAAATTATTGCAAAATGTGGCGATTATTTCTAAACAATTTCATGTAGTAAGATTTGGTTTTACATTGAGCTCGTTCTTGTCCAGTATTAAGATTCCTTGAGCAGTTTTAATGTAAAAGTAAATTCTGAAGAATGATTTGTTGTAAAACAGTGAAAAGAAAATGTCTAAATTTTATTTCTGAGTAATACGAATGTTTTAACAAATCAGCATTTAGTAAGATTTTATTTCTCATTTAAATCGTTCTAGTCCGTGCAGTAATACATGCCTAGAATTTCAATGTGTAAATAAATTCTGAAAAAAAAATGAATTTGTCTCCGTTTTCTGAAAATTATCATATTTGGGTTTTATTTCTAAACATTTTGTAAGTAAGATTGTAGTATGATTCTAAACTAAATTAAAAAAATTATTTTTTTATTGTAAAACAAATGAAAAAAATATTTAATTTTGTTTCTCAGTTCTTCCCATGTTTATTTTTGTCAGTTTACTGTCCTAAATAAGTGCTACCATATATTGAACTCTCGCCATTTATCATATTTTGGTATTTTATTGTAAAAAAAAATTATGAACTTTTCGGTCCGTACAAAAAACATGATGTATCATTTCAATGTTGGTTTTCGAAAACAAAAGAACAGCGAGAAAGACTATTTCGGAGACTGTTGATTGACACGAAATCCGTTCAAACCATGACTAAATCTTCGTGCACATATTTTGAAGTGCCAAAACCCCAGAAACTTGCTCGTAAGCCAAACCAAAGAAAAAGACCCAAGGACAGCATGTACGCAGCCAAGATATTAGACTTAGCAAATCATATAAATAAATTCATCTAAATATTGTCATTGTAAATATTGTACATAATTGTCTTCTCTATACCTATGTATATGGTTTATTGAGAATAAAGATATACAAATTCAATAAAATTTGATATTCAGTAAATATTGTTTTTGTTTATTAATTTGATTTGGAGAGAGGGAAAAAAATCCCAAAGAAAAACAAAAATCGAACTTGTTACAGAAAACCGGCAACTATAAAATAACACGATATTTTTATTTTCTTAAATTGATTTAGCCGTCATCATGAAAAATAAACTGAAAAAGTACATCGAATAATACCCAAATATGATAATATAAATACAATTAAATACAACAATGATGAAGTAGAGCAGAATATAAATTAATGGTACAACAGTGCCAGCGTTCTGAAAATCCATAGGTATCCATAGTAGAAATGTTTTTTTTAATTTTATTTTTTTCTCCCATAAATGTAAAATTTACTATGCATAATTTAAATTTAACTACATTAAACAATCCCTAAAAACTTAAAACATCGTGTTATTAATTTTTAACGTAACACTGTACTAACATCACAATTCATAAACAACAATACAGATAATCCAATCAATTTTGTTGATTGAATAATTCACAGCTCAGTAGTTGTGTAATCAGTGACACGTGCCCTCATTATTTTATAAGAATTGACATATCTATCTAAGTTCGATTTCAAATTCTACCAAAATTTAACTCTTAAATAAGTAGAGTATAACGAATATATACAGCCATCCTGTGTGCAAATACGATGCCTATAAAGGGTCCTGAGTGCACTCGGGAGGTCCTGAGCAGTGTTTAGACGTACCCGTTTTCTTACCGAAGGTTGGTGGTTCTCTCAGGGCACACTGGCTTCCTCCACCAATATAAACTGACCTCCACAAACTAGCAAAATAGTGCTGAAAGTGGAGTTAAACATCAATTAATCAATCAATCAATTCATGAATAATTTATTTGGTTTATAACTTTATATTTAAAAAAAATAACCTGAGTTTTACCATTTTAGTTCAGACTTTTCTGTCAGTAATAAGCTACACCCTACAGACTTTCACTTTTCGGCTTGTTGATAATGTTTCTGTCAAGCAGTTTGTATCAAATCAATAAATATATTATCAAAGTATTTTCGATTTATGGAAGGGCTGTTCCAGAATTAAATGTATGGGCAGGTCGGACGGCAGTGTTATTAAATTTGCATTATCCATGGTGGGTCATAAATTGAATTCAATTTTGTGCATGTTGGGGTTTCTCCTTCATTAGTATTTATCAAAACATTTCAAATAATGTTTTATGATGGTGTTATAAAATTAGAAGCTGTTGTTGCAATGTTTGCATGCCAGACTTGAGGTTCATCATAACAAATGGACAAAAGTGGCTGTATTTACACCTCAAAAACTACTCTGTGTACAGACTAACCTGTGCAGTTTGGAAAGTTTTAAGGCCTGGCATCCACTAGATATGTAAAATTTAAATGCATTTTGTGTTTCAGAAAGATAAAATCTCTTTTGGATTTAATGGGCATTTTTTTCCCTTCCTGAGCACTGTTGGTGTAAAAATAAACAAACACCTAAATTACATTTGATACTGTCCACTCAGTTACACCCTTTAACTCACCTATTGCTGTGTAGATATCTATTGTCCTTCTATTGTCCATGCCAATCAAGGACAATCAATTCAATGCAATACAGTTGTTACCCGAGAGGGAGCATCTCAAAGATTTACCCAACTTAGTTTATTTTTACACCTTCTGCAGGAACGAAAAAAAATGCCCATCAAAATCCAAAAAAGATTTTATCTTTTTGAAACACAAAATGCATTTAACTTTTATACATCTAGTGGATGCCAGGCCTTAAAAGTTTCAAAACTGTACAGGTAAGTCTTTACACAGAGTAGTTTTTGAGGTGTAAATACAGCCATGTTTGTCCATTTGTTATGATGAACCTTAATCATTTTGAATGATGATTTTCAGAGATTTTTCTGACTACCGGAAGTGTTATCGTCTTCGAGTTATCTCCCTTGGCCCACTTCTGCCAGCATGGACGTTGCCCTCCCCCTTCCTTATGTCCCCTGATGTTGCCAAGTAGAATTTAACCCGAATAATTCAGTCCCTCCCCGTGATCGACTCTCCCACTCGCGAGAAGACACATTGGTTTTCGCATTCTAACTTTAGTCAAAGTGAATGGATCTCTATGAAATTTTACCATAAGGTTCAATACCACAAAAGGGGGGTTATGGTACCAACAGTTAAGGAATTAGGGGCCAAAAAAAAGAATTTTTGTAACTTCCAGACATACATTTTGTAACTTGTGTGTTAGTGTATGGATCTCTCTGACATTGTACCACAAGGTTCCATATCACAAAGGTAATGCTGGGATTGATTATGGGGGTAATTGCCTCCAAAATTTAGGAATTAGGGGCCAAAAAGGGGCAAAAAACAAGCATTTTTCTAGTTTCATGACAATAACTTTTGTGTAAGTGTATGGATCTCTCTGACATTGTACCACAAGGTTTCATATCAAATAGGGAAAGCTGGAATTGAGTTTGGGGGTAATTGCCCTTAACATTTAGGAATAGGGGGCCAAAAATAAGCATTTTTATACGACCGCAAACAAATTTTTGTGGTCGTATATTGGTATTACGTTGGCGTCGTCGTTGTCGTTGAAGACACATTAGTTTTCGCACTCTAACTTTAGTTTAAGTGAATGGATCTCAATGAAATTTTACCATAAGGTTCAATACCACAAAAAGAAGGTGGGGATTGATTTTGGGGGTTATGGTACCCACAGTTAAGGAATTAGGGGCCAAAAATAAGCATTTTTGTAACTTCCAGACATAACTTAGCTTGTGTGTAAGTGTATGTATCTCTCTGACATTGTACCACAAGGTTCCATATCACAAAGGGAATGCTGGGATTGATTTTGGGGGTAATTGCCTCCAAATTTTAGGAATTAGGGGCCAAAAAGGGGCAAAAAACAAGCATTTTTCTAGTTTCATGACAATATTTTGTGTGTAAGTGTATGGATCTCTCTGACATTGTATCACAAGGTTCCATATTTCAAAGGGAATGCTTGGATTGATTTTGGGGATAATTTCCTCCAAATTTTTGAAATTAGGGGCAAAAAAGAGGCAAAAAACAAGCATTTTTCTAGTTTCATGACAATAACTTGTGTGCAAGTGTATGGATCTTTATGAAATTGTACTACAAGGTTCCATATCACAAAGGGAAAGCTGGAACTGAGTTTTGGGGTAATTGCCCTAAACGTTGAGGAATAAGGGGTCAAAAAGGGGCCAAAAATAAGCATTTTTCTAGTTTCCAGAAAATAACTTGTGTTCAAGTGTATGGATCTCTCTGAAATTGTACTGCAAGGTACCATACCACAAAGGGAAGGCTGGGATTGATTTTGGGGTAATTCCCTCAAAATTTGAGAAATTAAGGGGCCATAAAGGTGCAAAAAAACAAGCATTTTTCTAGATTCATGACAATAACTTGTGTGTAAGTGTATGGATCTCTCTGACATTGTACCACAAGGTTCCATATCACAAAGGGAAAGCTGGGATTGATTTTGGGGGTAATTGCCTCCACATTTTAGGAATTAGGGGCCAAAAACAAGCATTTTTCTAGTTTCATGACCATAACTTGTGTGTACACGTATGGATCTTTCTGAAATTGTACTACGAGCTTCCATATCACAAAGGGAAAGCTGGAATTGCGTTTGGGGGTAATTGCCCTAAACATTTATGAATAAGGGGCCAAAAATAAGCATTTTTCTAGTTTCCAGACAATAACTTGTGTTCAAGTGTATGGATCTCTCTGAAATTGTACTGCAAGGTACCATACCACAAAGGGAAGGGTGGGATTGATTTTGGGGTAATTCCCTCAAAATTTGAGAAATTAAGGGGCCATAAAGGGGCAAAAAAACAAGCATTTTTCTAGATTCAGGACAATAACTTGTGTGTAAGTGTATGGATCTTTATGAAATTGTACTGCAAGGTTCTATATCACAAAGGGAAAGCTGGGTTTGAGTTTTGGGGTAATTGCCCTAAACGTTAAGGAATAAGGGGTCAAAAAGGGGCCAAAAATAAGCATTTTTCTAGTTTCCAGAGAATAACTTGTGTTCAAGTGTATGGATCTCTCTGAAATTGTACTGCAAGGTACCATACCTCAAAGGGAAGGCTGGGATTGAGTTTGGGGGTAATTGCCTCAAAATGTTAGGAATAAGGGGCCAAAAAGGGGCAAAAAAAACAAGCATTTTTTTCTAGTTTCATGACAATAACTTGTGTTCATTAAGTGTGTGGATCTCTCTGGAATTGTACTGCAAGGTACCATACCACAAAGGGAAGGCTGGGTTGAGTTGGGGAGTGATGAATCATAAGGGGGTTCAACAATTTTGGGGGGGGATTTTTTTTTCCTTTTTTTTTCTTTAAAATTTTCCATTTTAAATTGGTTATTTCTGATTTATATATAAAAGCAAATAATAATGATATGGTTTGAATAGGTAAATTAAAATTTTTTAAGTTCTTAGACCACATTCATTCTGTGTCAGAAACCTATGCTGTGTTAAATATTTAATTACAATCCAAATTCAGTGCTGTATCCAGCTTGAATGTTGTGTCCATACTTGCCCAAACTGTTCAGGGTTTGACCTCTGCGGTCATATCAAGCTGCGCCCAGCGGAACATTTTATTCTAGTTTCCAGACAATTACTTGTGTTCAAGTGTATGGATCTCTCTGAAATTGTACTGCATGGTACCATACCACAAAGAGAAGGCTGGGATTGATTTTGGGGGTAATAGCCTCAAAGTTTTTGGAATTAGGGGCCATAAAGGGGCAAAAAAACAAGCATTTTTCTAGTTTCAGAACAATAACTTGTGTGTAAGTGTATGGATCTTTATGAAATTGTACTACAAGGTTCCATATCACAAAGGGGAAAGCTGGGTTTGAGTTTGGGGGTAATTGCCCAAAACGTTTAGGAATAAGGGGTCAAAAAGGGGCCAAAAATAAGCATTTTTCTAGTTTCCAGAAACTTGTGTGTAAGTGTATTAATCTTTATGAAATTGTACTACAAGGTTCCATATCACAAAGGGGAAAGCTGGGTTTGAGTTTGGGGGTAATTGCCCAAAACGTTTAGGAATTTGGGGCCAAAAAGGGGCCAAAAAACAAGCATTTTTATACGCCCGTTTACGGGACGTATTATGGTATACCTCTGTCCGTCCGTCCGTCTGTCCGTCCATCGTCAACATGTCGGACATTAACTCAAAAACGCTTTAACCAATTTGCATAAAACTTTGGTGAATTGTTTATATCTATTGACGTGAGCTCCCTTTCGTTTTTATAAATTTTAGATTTTACGTTTCCGAGTTATGGGGTTTTATTCATTAAAAAAAGGGGGATTTTCCAGTTTTCGGACAACAACTCAAGAATGCTTTCACCAACTTGCAAGAAATTGTGGTGAATTGTTTATATCTATTGACATGAGCTCCCTTTCGATTTTTTTTTATTTTAGGTTTTACGTTTCCGAGTTACAGGGTTTTATTCATAAAAAAAGGGGGATTTTCCAGTTTTCGGACAAAAAATCAAAAATGCTTTCAGCAGTTCTTATGAAACTTTGGTGAATTGTTTATATCTATTGATGTAAGCTCCGTTTAGAATTTTATAAATTTTACATTTTACATTTCTGAGTTATGGGGTTTTATTCATTAAAAAAGGGGGGATTTTCCAGTTTTCGGACAATAACTCAAAAATACTGTCAGCAATTCTCATGAAACTTTGGTGAATTGTTTATATCTATTGATGTAAGCTCCCTTTACATTTTCATAAATTTCTAATATGACATTGAGAATAAATTGAACTTTATTTGTTTATAGTCTGACAACAGATTTACTAAGTATTGCGCAACAGCACAGTGTATTGCACAACAGCAAGAAATCTTTAATTGAATATAAATTCAATTCATATAACCAATTTCAAGTTTTTTGACTACATTTATTCAGAAACCTATAATATGTCAAATATTTAATTACAATCCAAATTCAGACCTGTATCAAGCTTGAATATAGTGTCCATTTTTGCCCCAACTGTTCAGGGTTGGTCCTCTGCGGGCGTATCCAGCTGCGCTCAGCGAAGCAGTTTATTCTAGTTTCCAGACAATAACTTGTGTTCAAGTGTATGGATCTCTCTGAAATTGTACTGCAAGGTACCATACCACAAAGGGAAGGCTGGGATTGAGTTTGGGGGTGATGAATCATAAGGGGGTTCAAAAAATGTGGGGGGGATTTTTTTTTCTTTTTTTTTCTTTAAAATTCTCCATTTTAAATTGGTTATTTCTGATTTATATATAAAAGCAAATAATAATGAAATGGTTTGAATAGGTAAATTAAAATTTTTTAAGTTCTTAGACCACATTCATTCTGTGTCAGAAACCTATGCTGTGTCAAATATTTAATTACAATCCAATTTAGTGCTGTATCAAGCTTGAATGTTGTGTCCATACTTGCCCCAACTGTTCAGGGTTTGACCTCTGCGGTCGTATCAAGCTGCGCCCCAGCGGAGCATTTTATTTTGTATGTTGGCCAGACCAAATTTACTTTACTTTTTTCATCCTGCTCCCTCCCTCCTAAATTTTAGAGGAGAAAAAAAAATAAAATTATAATACTGCCATTCTATATTTCCATGCTTCATTTCAATGCTGGAGTAGTTACAGATTTAAAAGATCAGGACTGCTTGCTTTATGGCCATAAAAATTCACAATATGATTACTCAAAAATAAAAAAATGAACTAATCAAACTAGAATTTTTCAATATACATGTATGCTCTGAACAAGAATTCTTTACTAACACAGAGAGACCAAACATTGCAAACATTTAAACAAACAAAAAACCCAGATAGACTGCAGTTTATGCAAGCAGGACTCCCGTGAAAAACTATATTTTGCTCCTGTTGGTTAGCATATCTTATCCTGCATGCAGGAAACTTTTATTGGATATCAATAATAAGTTTTACCTTTGTATACAATCCGTCAGATTAAATGAAACTCACAGTAATTGCAACATTTAAGAATTAAACATTTTTTTATTTAATTTTATGCATGGTGGTTATATTTTCCACTTTTATTTTGTGCATGGTGGAGGTAGTAGGTAATTAAAATTAATGCGTGGTGGGTGCAAAAAAAAGTGCCTTCCGACCCCCTCATACATTTATTTCTGGAACAACCCTAATGTGATAAAAGAAAGTTATTTTGATTATTTTAACTTCAATACCTTTGACTAAATATTTGGTCACATGACAGATGGCAATTGTCGTTTATAAATATAACATGAAATAAAAAAAATTTCAAAAAATTACTATGCAATGAGACAGTGCAACTATGTGGGAATATGAAATAAGACTGTTATAGGGTTTAATTAAGCAATGTTGATATGGTTAATATTGTTATACATGTGCTGTTATATATTTTATGATATTTTATTGCAGTGTTGAAAGACTGTTCAACGATTTGGTGGAATCTCAGCACACAGCATTAGAACCCCTTATCATCACACGACGTGGTGTGTTATCAGTTAATCGTGACAGTCTTTTTGATCCGAAAGCATTGTATGCTCTATTCTACATTCATGGGTAAGTAGTCATTTTACTAATTTACGAATAACAAGTTTTATTATATGACTATAAAATTTCTCTTTTCTCATTGTCTTAAAGCATGCAGAATCTACTTTGATAAAACATTTTATTCACAGCTGAAATAATCAGTTTGTTAAGATTTGGAACACCCAACGTGTACCTAAATAGTTATTTTCCTGGGCAACATCAATGATGTAGAGTTATGATGTCATGCAAATTATCATTTTTGTTGAGCCTTCGACTTTTGTCGAAAAAGCGAGACATAGCGATCCTACATTCCGTCGTCATCGGCGGCGGCGTCCACAAATATTCACTCTGTGGTTAAAGTTTTTGAATTTTTAATAACTTTCTTAAACTATCCTGGATTTGTACCATACTTGGACAGAAGCTTATTTATGATCATAAGATAATATTCAAAAGTAAATTTTTTACGTATAAATGGACTTAGTTTTTCTGCCAAGAAACATTACATTGACTCTGTGGTTAAAGTTTTTGAATTTTTAATAACTTTCTTAAACTATCCTGGATTTGTACCAAACTTGGACAGTAGCTTGTTTATAATTAAAAGCTAGTATTTAGAAGGAAATTTTGTTCAAATTTTGTTCCATTTTTTTCCGTATTTTACTTATAAATGGACTTAGTTTTTCTTCCAGTTAACATTACATATAGTCTGCAGTTTAAGTTTTTAAAACATTTATAAGATACATAAACTATCCTGGATTTTTACCAAACTTGGACAGAAGCTACTTACAATCAAAAGATAGTATAGAGAGGAATATTTTTATTAATTTTTTCCCTCATTTTTGTTGAGCCTGCAATTAACAGCAAAAGTAGGCGAGACACTGGGTTCCGCGGAACCCTTACAAATTTTTTGTGTTCGTGTTCTTTTTTTTTTTTTTTTAAAGTAAACTTTATTGAATACTTCAACTTACAATAGCTAGCAACTACCAAAACAGGTAATATATTTAGTATAAAAACAAGGAGCAGTTAAGTATCTAGAGTAAATACTAGAAAATTGGAGATGGATAAAAAAGTCATTTATCAAAACAATTGTTGACTTTTGATATCCAAGATAAATCATTGTATCAACCTCATTAAAAGTCAATAATTGTATAATCAGTGCTTTTTCTGGTTCTTTTGGGAATTGCCATATGAACATAACTAGGAAATTTTATAGACAAACCATAATCCTTGTGACTCAAAGGGGCTTCAAATATTGCAATACAAATAACAGAATAATGTGATTCATTTAAATACAGCTTTGCAATGTTGGTTTGAGTATATTGAATTTAGCAAGACTCATTGTCTCCTTTGGCATGTCCTTCCATTGATATTGACATCATATAAACTCTGTTGTATCAGATTTGAGTATCTTTGAAAAAAAGATGAAACAGTATCATCACTACTTTTTGGGTTAGAAGTCACACAGTTCATAGTGCTTGCAACAATATCCCCCTGTAGCATGTGTAGCAGCATTGAAATAGAACCAGTTATGACATAGTTAATGCTATCTACTATCATGCAGTGTTTTCTTTATTTCAGAATCTTAAAAGGGTGTAAACACCAGTTACATCATCATTTTCACTCTCAGTCTGCATATATGGTCTGTTTGCTTTTAGATTCGAAATTCAAAATTCAGGTTGTTGTTGAGGCTCATTAGGGTTTGACACTAACTAAATGTGTGTACTAGCCTGCAGGGCTAGTGAAATTATTATTTTTACTAGTCCTGTTGTCAATTCACTAGCCCTCCAAGTGCAGAAGGCACTTGGACGGTCGTGCCACCGGCACGACCCTATCTAGGAGGGTTCTGGGGCAAATGAAGCTAAATCCTGTGTTCTGGAGCATTTCCAGAGGGTTTTGAACATGTTTTGTTTCATGAAATTTCACTGGTTTGCTTATAAAAAATACCCCAAAAAAAAAAAAATCATATTTTAATCATCTATATTAAGAATGTGTTCGACTTACTTTGAAGACCCCTTTAGATCATTACTTCATCATTATCCTCATTTTACCTATCATTATCCTCATTTTACTTATCATTATCCTCATTTTACTTATCATTATTACTAGTGTCTTTAATAAAGATGGATAAGTTAGGGATTTAAAAATATACCCACAAAAGAGGAAAGCTTTGCCCTTGCTGTTTTTTGTCATAATTCTTCATGGACTCCTTCTTTTCCCTTGTTGTTTCAGTTTATTTTTTTTTTGCAGGACAAGATTTTATTCCTAAAAATCTATATTTTTACCAGAGACCAAGGAATTGTATAGTATACAAATCCTTGCAGAGACCTATAATTTTGTTTTTATGACAATAATTCAGTGATATTGTTTGCCTCAAATTACATTCGAAATACAGCTTTTTCCCCTAGAGAAAATTCCCAATTACTAAAAAACTGGCTTAAAATTCCTCCCAATAAGTTGCACATTTTTCCCAAACAGTGATGGTATCGGTAGTAATGTATGTAAATTTCGTATTCATGTTATTATTTTGATATTATGAAAGCACTTTTAAGATCCAGGTTTCTGATTAGAATCATCACGGCGTTTGTAACACACTCGGTTAATTCAATGTATTAAGTACCATCATTGTTACCGTTTCTTTCCCCTCCCCAAAAAGTACCTTTCATGTTAAAAATGTCTGACAATCAAAATATACGTGAATAAACTGTACAATAAAGACAGCAAAGGCCAGCAATAAATCTGGGATTTGTTGACAATTAAAATTTTGTGAAATTTCTAGTTTAAAACAAAATTTTGACTAGCCTGTCAAACTACTGTGATGAAAACTTTACTAGCCCTCCCTAATTTTTACTAGCTCGGGCTAGCGGACTAGCGTTAGTGTCAAACCCTGCTCATACTTTTCATACTAATGACTCAAAACACTGTCTCACCCAACTAGAAAGTTAAGCTAAATAAAGTAGTGTTGTTCACATCCATTTGAGTATGTAAGATCATGTTTTTGAGTACTCCGGGTCTCCTTCAAGTTTTTATTCTTGTTAAAAGAATTCTTGGTGAGATCCCTGTCCCTCATTTATTTATAAAAAACTTAGCATAATAGTGGGACATGATCAATGCAAAGAAGTTTATCACAATCTGTTGACAGTAGTAACATTGTCAAACATTTTTTATGAAGCACTATCAATATTGCTTCTCAGCAAATCAAAAGAGTATCTTGTAAGTGCTCTAAAGTGTACAATTCTTGCCTGATTTTTATGAAACTTATATCATAGGTTTATATCAGCAATGTCTTTGACAAATTTTGAAAGTGAGTGCCATTCAATTATTTTTAAATGAGTTATGTCCCTTGGAAACATTAAATAAATGTAAAATTGCATTGTTAGCGCCCTCATGTGTACAATTCTTGCCAGATCTTTATGAAACTTAAATCATAGGTTAATATTAGCAATGTCTTTGACAAGTTTGAAAAATCAGTGCCGATCAAAAATTTTAAAAAGTTATGTCCCTTGGAAATATTAATTATATGGATAATTGCCTTATGAGCGCTCTAATGTGTACAATTCTTGTCAGATTTTTATGAAATTTATATTATAGGTTTATATCATCAATGTCTTTGACGAGTTCGAAAATCAGTGCCAATCAATTATTTTTAAAAGAGTTATGCCCCTTGGAAACATTAATGATATTGAAAAATGCATTGTTAGCGCTCTCATTTGTTCAATTCTTGCCAGATTTTTATGAAACTTATATCATAGGTTTATATCAGCAATGTCTTTGACAAGTTTGAAAATCAGTCCTGATCAATTATTTTTTAAAGAGTTATGCCCCTTGGAAATATTAATTATTATGGAAATCACATTGCATTTGCTCTGAAGCCTTCATTTCTAAAAGATATTAATAAAAAGTTTTATAGAAAAAAAAAAGTGCTTATTTTAGTTATTGCCCTTGTACCTTGGATAGATAAAATATGTGCAACGCGGTGGACATTGGAACTCTGTTCTTTTATTCAGAATTGAATGTGGGGAAAATGAGCATTTTTTTGGCTGTACCTACATTCTGCTTTTTTTTCAGATCAAAGCTGACATCTGTGATGGAATCTATTCCTAAAAGTAAGAAGAACAAAAGGTGTAATCTTCATTCCTTAGAGACCCATAAGACAAGAACACCAGGGTACGTCATGTATGTTTGATAATTAACAAAAAACTGTTTGGGATTTTATTGTGATTAGTAACAGACAAAAAGATCATAGGTTCAAAATGTGAAGTGATTGCTTTTACAAAGACCTTAAGCAAATTATTCATCAAAATATTTATCAATAAAAAGTAGAAAAAATAAACAATAAACATGTGCTTTATTAACTATATAACACAGTACCTTATTAACTAGATGATACCCATGCGTGCAAGTGTCTTAACCAGATTTGATGATGATGATGGATGGCTGCTTAATGTCCAGTGGCAAATTAATATGCATATTCAGGACGAAAACATGTTAATGTAATATGAATATTAACCCTGCTTTGTACTAGACCGACACACTGAGCCGGATTTTTAACGTGGTAGTTCACAAGGTAACAGTCTGCAGGAAGTTATGTCACCTTACCCGAGCACATTATTCTGACTCTGAGCCGACCAGTCTTTGCTCTTACTCCTTAATGCCGTGTGCTTAGTGGAGAAGCAGCAAATACCAATTTTAAAGTCTTTGGTTTAACCTGGCGAGACCACCAGATTCGACACCTAATTGTTAGATGCAAAATGATTTCATGCTAAATTAAATGAGTGTTATTATCAGTTAAACACTTCTGCACATAATAAATTAGAAAATATGATGATTCCTGCCATTTGATAGAATGAACACTGTAAATAAATTTGGAATCACTCGTAATTTATGATTAACTTCAAACTTCCAGTTGTTATTTTGTTTCTCAAAATTGAAAGTAGGGTGGTCGGATTCCTGAGAAACTTTTATAACACAAATGGGTTCCATTTTTTTTTTAAAGATTTTTTCCTGCTCCAATGTCGTTTTCTTGTCTGGAACATGTAATTTATGTTGTTGGCCAAAAAAAAAAAATTCCTAACTACCTACCCAACCCTACAAGGCATGGGTAGGCAACATCAAACAAAGAATTTTTTAAGAGTGGCCTTATTCAAATCATTTCAATTTTTATACGACCGCAAAAATTTTTGCGGTCGTATATTGGTATGACGTCGTCGTCGTCGTCCGAAGACACATTGGTTTTCGCACTCTAACTTTAGTTAAGTGAATGGATCTCTATGAAATTTTACCATAAGGTTCAATACCACAAAAGAAAGGTGGGGATTGATTTTGGGGGTTATGGTACCAACAGTTAAGGAATTAGGGGCCAAAAAGGGGCCAAAAATAAGCATTTTTGTAACTTCCAGACATAACTTGTGTGTTAGTGTATGGATCTCTCTGACATTGTACCACAAGGTTCCATATCACAAAGGGAATGCTGGGATTAATTTTGGGGGTAATTGCCTCAAAATATTAGGAATTAGGGGCCAAAAAAGGGGCAAAAAACAAGCATTTTTCTAATTTCATGACAATAACTTGTGTTAAAGTGTATGGATCTTTCTGAAATTGTACTACAAGGTTCCATATCACAAAGGGAAAGCTGGAATTGAGTTTGGGGGTAATTGCCTGAAACGTTTAGGAATAAGGGGCCAAAAAGGGGCCAAAAAACACATTTTTCTAGTTTCCAGACAATAACTTGTGTTCAAGTGTATGGATCTCTCTGAAATTGTACTGCAAGGTACCATACCACAAAGGGAAGGCTGGGATTGAGTTTGGGGGTGATGAATCATAAGGGGGTTAAAAAAATGTGGGGGGGGGGGGATTTTTTTTTTTTTCCTTTTTTTTTTCTTATAAAGTTTTCCATTTTAAGTTGGTTATTTCTGATTTATATTTAAAAGCAAGTAATAATGATATGGTAGGAGATACACACCAAACAGGATGTGTAAATTATTATAAATAAGTATTGTGCAATAGCAAGAAATTTTCAATTGCACAGTATTGCACAATAGCAAGAAATCTTCAATTGCACAGCATTGTGCAATAGCAAGAAATCTTCAATTGCACAGTATTGCGCAATAGCAAGAAATATTCAATAGCACAATATTGCGCAATAGCAAGAAATTGTCAATTGTACAGTATTGCGCAATAGCAAGAAATATTCAATTGCACAGTATTGTGCAAAAGAAGATACTTCGTATAAATTGCTTATTTCTTGATCAATTTCAATGGGATTTTATTCTTGAATTCTTGGGGTTCTTTAATATGCTGAATCTAACCGTGTATTTAGTTTTTGGATTTTGGGCCCCGTTTTTAAATAGGTCCACATTGAGGTCTAAAGGGTCCAAAATTAAACTTTGTTTGATTTCATCAAAAATTGAATTATTGGGGTTCTTTGATATGCCGAATCTAACCATGTATTTAGATTCTTAATTTTTGGTTCCGTTTTCAAATTGGTCTACATTAAGGTCCAAAGGGTCCAAAATTAAACTTAGTTTGATTTTAACAAAAATTGAATTCTTAGGGTTCTTTGATATGCTGAATCTAAACATGTATTTAGACTTTTGATTTTTGGGCCCCGTTATCAACTTTGTCCACATTGAGGTCAAAAGGGTCCAAAATTAAACTTTGTTTGATTTCATCAAAAATTTAATTCTTGGGGTTCTTTGATATACTGAATCTAACCATGTATTTAGATTTTTGATTTTTGGGCCCCTTATCAACTTTGTCCACATTGAGGTCAAAAGGGTCCAAAATTAAACTTTGTTTGATTTCATCAAAAATTGAATTCTTGGGGTTCTTTGATATGCTGAATCTAACCATGTATTTAGATTTTGGATATTGGACCATAATAGGTGAATGTCCAATTTAAAATTTTTAAGTTCTAAGACCACATTCATTCTGTGTCAGAAACCTATGATGTGTCAAATATTTAATCACAATCCAAATGCAAAGCTGTATCAAGCTTTAATGTTGTGTCCATACTTGCCCCAACTGTTCAGGGTTCGACCTCTGTGGTCGTATCAAGCTGCGCCCTGCAGAGCATTTTATTGGTTATTATCTTTAATATTATTATAGATAGAGATAAACTGTAAACAGCAATAATGTTCATGATGTCATTTACACCAATTCTCAACCGGTGTAACTCATTCATGAAAAACAACTCTAGATTGGTTTATGAATTGAAAAAAGGACCATAACTTTCAAGTCATCTCAAAATGAACTAAAGTGTGTGAACACATTTCAATATCCTTGGTAGGCACATTGTAAGTGTGTATGGGATAACTTCTTGAGTAAATTGATAGATCATTGAACATAATAATGTACAAAATGTACACAAATATTACATAAAAAATCTTTATCATATATAATTTATATAATTTTGAGAGGGAAAATATGACATCATGGTAAGTACTTAAATTCTTTGGAAATATTACTAAAAGCAAACTATTTTACATAATTTCAGTGTAAAACATTTATGAAAATGTAGTATACATGTAAACATAATGTGCCCTTTTATTTTCATGCTGTTGGTAAATACATTTTCAAATAAGTCATTGGTGACCTCATCTTCTCAAATGATATTAATTACAATAATGGAAAAAAGAAAAACATGTCTGTTTCAGAAGCTGGATAGATATATGGGATTTATTAGCTCAAGATTGCAGAGAAGAAGTAGTGCTAGTAGATGCAGATGGTCTCTTGGATACACTTGAAAATTATCTTAGAAAACACAGGTAATTGTTATCTATACTACTAAAATAACGAGGTATAATTTGTTAGCTGGCATGACGTAAAAAAGGACGAATCAAAGAGTTCAACTTTATATAGGAAAATGGTGCTGATTAAAAATTACACCATTCCACGCCCTTTTGTTTTCCACATAATTAATATTACCAATAATTAACGAGTTCCAGGTCGATGGGTTCAAACAAAGATTTTTAAAGCAGAGAAAACTGTGCACCTTATAATCAGCAGGTGTATTCTAGTATAGATGTATAAACAAGGAATTATTTGAATCTGGAATAATTTTAAATTGTGGAAAATTGATAAGAAATGTATGATGAAAACTAACCTAATTTAGGAGGGTTAAATAATTCCTTGTTTATACATCTGTACTAATGCATGGCTAACCCTCCTAAATTAGGTTAGTGTTCATCATACATTTGTTCCAGATTCAAATAAGGGGGTTTATTATTTCATACTGAAATATCAGTGAATGTAAAATTAACCTAAGACATGCATGCCTTAGCCATGTGTGCATAGCTAACCCTATTTAATTGGGTTAGTTTTCATCATACATTTCTTTTCAATTTTCAAGAATTCAAAATTATTCCAGATTCAAATAATTCTGTGTTTATAGATGATAATATATGGTATGAGTGTTTATCATAACAAGAATATGTGTTGCATGAAGAAATTTGAAGGAAGGAAGGATTGTTTTTTTAAGAAACAAAGTATAAAGGTGTAAACAAAAAACTGACCTAAAGTTGAAATTTTTACTTATTTTATGTTTTGTAGAGGAGGTATTTTTTGCAAAATTGGCCCCTATTGTGTTTTGATTAATTGATAACATTAACTTTAGGTCCAGTGGCATATAAGTTTTTAAATGACCGCAAAAAATTTGCGTTCGTATAGTGCTATCATGTCGTCCTTGTCATGGTCCTCATCCGAACACACATTTGGTTTCCGGACAATAACTTTAGTTTAAGTGAATGGATCTCTATGAAATTTTACCAGAAGGTTCAATACCACAAAAGGAAGGTTGGGATTGATTTTGGGGGTTATGGTAACAACAGTTAAGGAATTAGGGGCCAAAAAGGGGCCAAAAAGAAGCATTTTTATACACCCGTCAATTTTTGACGGGACGTATTATGGTATACAAATGTCCGGTGTCCGTCTGTCTGTCCGTCTGTCCATCTGTCTGTCCCGCGTAAACATGTCGCACCGTAACTTGAGAATGACTTATCCAAATTTCATGAAACTTAACATAGTAGTTTCTTATGATGGTCAAACGATCTGTATACTTTTTGGTGAAAATAAGATTAAAACTTTTTGAGTTACGGGACTTAGTAACTAAAACAGGTGTGTGTTTTTTTTCACATGTCGCGCCGTATCTCAAAAACAATTTATGATTATTGCTTAAAACTTTACACACTTCTTAGTTATATTAATCTTAAGATCTGTATACTTTTCAGTGATGATTCAACATTTTATTTTAGAGATATTGAGTATTTTGTTAAAAAAGGGGGAGGGGTTTTTCACATGTCGTGCCGTATCTCAAAAACAGTTTATGATTATTGCTTAAAACTTTACACACTTCTTAGTTATATTAACCTCAAGATCTATATACTTTTTGGTGATGATTCAAACTTTTATTTTTGAGTTATTGAGTATTTTGTAAAAAAAGGGGGAGGAGTTTTTCACATATCGTGCGGTATCTCAAAAACGATTTATGATTATTGCTTAAAATTTTACACACTTCTTAGTTATATTAATCTAAAGATCTGTATACTTTTTGGTTTTGATTCAAATTTTATTTTTGAGATATTGATTTTTTTTTTTAAAAGGGGGGTTTTCACATGTCGCGCCGTATCTCAAAAAGGATTTATGATTATTGCTTAAAATTTTACACACTTCTTAGTTATATTAATCTAAAGATCTGTATACTTTTTGGTTTTGATTCAAAATTTTATTTTAGAGATATTGAAACGATTTATGATTATTGCTTAAAATTTTACACAATTCTTAGTTATATTAATCTAAAGATCTGTATACTTTTTGGTTTTGATTCAAAATTTTATTTTAGAGATATTGAGTTTTTTTAAAAAAAAAGGGGGTTTTCGCATGTCACGCCGTATGTCAGAAACTATTTATGCTTATTGCATAAAAATTCAAACACAAGACGAAGGGCGTATCATGCGCTCATGGCGCAGCTGTTTATTGTAGTTTCCAGACAATAACTTGTGTAAGTGTATGGATCTCTCTGAAATTGTACCACAAGGTTCCATATCACAAAGGAAAGGCTGGGATTGAGTTTGGGGGTAATTGCCCCAAACGTTCAGGAATTAGGGGCAAAAAAGGGGCCAAAAACAAGCATTTTTATACGCCCGTCAAATTTTTGACGGGACGTATTATGTTATACAAATGTCTGGCGTCCGTCCGTCTGTCTGTCTGTCTGTCCGTCTGTACGTCTGTCTGTCTGGCGTAAACATGTCGCACCGTAACTCTAGAATGACTTATCCAAATTTCATGAAACTTAAAATAGTTGTTTCTTATGATGGTCAAACGATCTGTATACTTTTTGGTGAAAATAAGATTAAAACTTTTTGAGTTACGGGACTTAGTAACTAAAACAGGTGTGTGTTTTTTTTCACATGTCGCGCCGTATCTCAAAAACAATTTATGATTATTGCTTAAAACTTTACACACTTCTTAGTTATATTAATCTTAAGATCTCTATACTTTTTGGTGATGATTCAAAATTTTATTTTTGAGTTATTGAGTATTTTGTTAAAAAGGGGGAGGGGTTTTTCACATGTCGCGCCGTATCTCAAAAACAGTTAATGATTATTGCTTAAAACTTTACACACTTCTTAGTTATATTAACCTTAAGATCTGTATACTTTTTGGTGATGATTCAAAATTTTATTTTTGAGTTATTGAGTATTTTGTAAAAAAAGGGGGAGGGGTTTTTCACATGTCGCGCCATATCTCAAAAATGATTTATGATTATTGCTTAAAATTTTACACACTTCTTAGTTATATTAATCTAAAGATCTGTATACTTTTTGGTTTTGATTCAAAATTTTATTTTGAGATATTGATTTTTTTTTTTTTAAAAGGGGTGTTTTCACATGTCGCGCCGTATCTCAAAAACGATTTATGATTATTGCTTAAAATTTTACACACTTCTTAGTTATATTAATCTAAAGATCTGTATACTTTTTGGTTTTGATTCAAAATTTTATTTTATAGATATTGAGTTTTTTGTAAAAAAAAAAGAACGGGGTTTTCGCATGTCACGCCGTATGTCAGAAACTATTTATGCTTATTGCATAAAAATTCACACACAAGACGACGGGCGTATTATGCGCTCATGGCGCAGCTGTTTATTCTAGTTTCCAGACAATAACTTGTGTTTAAGTGTATGGATCTCTAACTTTAGTTTGCCTCAACCAAATGTTATGAAACTTATACATAATGCTAATTACGATATAACACAGATCAAGTTTTGAATTTGGATGGCGTCACTTTTACCATTCTTGAGTTATGTCCCTTTATAAAGCTATATGCAAGCGGGGGCATCATCTGTGTCCCATGGACACATTCTCCATTTATTTTTTGTCCGCCTTGACGGAGTCAAAATGCGAGACATAGGTATGCTGTTTCCGGTGCCAGCGAAGGTGGTGGTGGCGTCAACAATGTATTAGTTTGTGATTAGGTCTAGTTCATGGTGAACCACTAGTGGTAGGTCAGTGATATTTGGTCTGCAGTTGTATTTGCATTGGCACATCTCATTACCATGGAGATTGTTTGGCCCCGCCCCATCAGTCAAGGTCTATTGACTTTGAAACTTTGCTTAGTTTACATGTATTAGTTTGTGATTAGGTCAGTTTATTGGGAACCACTAGTGGTAGGTCAATGATATTTGGTATGCAGTTGTATTGGCATTGGCACATCTCATTACCATGGAGATTATTTGGCCCCGCCCCCTCAGTCAAGGTCTATTGACTTTGAAACTTTGCTTAGTTTTCATGTATTAGTTTGTGATTAGGTCTGTTTATGGGGAACCACTAGTGGTAGGTCAATGATATTTGGTATGCAGTTGTATAAGCATTGGCATATCTCATTTCCATAGAGATTATTTGGTCCTGCCCCCTCATTCATGGTCTATTGACTTTGAAACTTTTGCTTAGTTTTCATGTATTAGTTTGTGATTAGGTCAGTGTAAGGGGAACTGTTAGTGGTAGGTCAATGATAATTGGTATGCAGTTGTATAAGCATTAACACATCTCATTTCCATGGAGAATATTTGGTCGTTACCCCTCAGTCATGGTCTATTGACTTTGAAACTTTTACTTAGTTTACATGTATTAGTTTGTGATTAGGTCAGTTTAAGATGAACCACTTATGTTAAGTCAATGATATTTGTATGCAAACGTATTGGCATTTGCAAGTTTCATTTCCATGGAGATTATATAACCCCACCCCCTAATTATGGTTCATTGACTTTGAAACTTTTACATAGTTTACAAGTTAGTGTTTGTGTTTAGGTTTGTTTAAAGGGAACGACTTATGAAAAGTCAATGGTATTTGGTTTACAGTTGTATTAGCATTGGCACATCTCATTTCCATGCAGATTGTTTAGCCCTGTACCTTCAGTCATGGTTCATTGACCTTGAATATTTGCATAACTTACATGTTAAAGTATTGCTATTTTAATTTCAACATTTGCATTATCAAAATAACAAATAGGCGAGACATATCTCTGTGTTAACAGTTTATTATTAATCTATGACATGAGATTTTGAGATCTAGAACATGTTGAAAAATGTCATTATACTATTGGATAGCGTCACTTTTACAGTTCTCTAGTTATGTCCCTTTATCACGTTATATGTAAACAGGGGCATCATTTGTGTCCCATGTACACATTCTCCATTTATTTTGTAGGTAGGTCATAGGTCAATTTAAAAGTACCTAAGATATACATGCTATAAAAAGGACAGACAATTTGTTAAAAGTTTCATGGGGCTTGGTGGCCAAGTGGTCTAGGTAGTTGAACTACTGTATTCAGTTTTCTCCACCAATTATGGCAATAGAAACTGACTGCCACTAAATAGCTAATGGTGCTGAAACAAGTGAAAAATGGCGTTAAACACCTATCAATCAATCAATCAGATCTTTATCACTCTTATGATGAGTGGAAAAAAAAAATCCCTATTGATTTTAGGTCATTTGCAATTGGTTAAACATGTTCATGATGTTAAAGGCTACAAATTAGATAAAAAAAATTAAAATATGGTTTTGTTTCAACTTTCGTAAAAATAAGCACAAAAACACTGCTGATATATTATTGTCTTGCACAACACAAATCAAGATTGACTATGGGAGGTGTCACATTTACTGTTCTAGAGTTATGCCCCTTTACAAATGGAAAAATTGAAGAATTTTTCATTCCGTTCTCTAACTTAAGTTTGCCTCAACCAAATGTTATGAAACTTATACACACTGCTTATTATCACAAAACTCAGATCAAGTTTGAATATGGGTGGCGTCACTTTTACCATTCTTGAGTTATGTCCCTTTATAACACTATATGCAAGCAGGGGCATCATCTGTGTCCCATGGACACATTCTCCATTTATTTTTTATTAATCTATGACACGAGATTTTCAGATCTAGAACATGTTGAACAAGAATGTGTCCATAGTACACGGATGCCCCACTCGCACTATCATTTTCTATGTTCAGTGGACTGTGAAATTGGGGTAAAAACTCTAATTTGGCATTAAAATTAGAAAGATCATAGCATAGGGAACATGTGTACTAAGTTTCAAGTTGATTGGACTTCAACTTCACAGGGCTCACACTACTTCAGAATCATAGGGAGAAGTGGTGAGATTTGAAAGAGAAGTGCTACTTAGCGCAATGTGCTACAATGTTTTGATTTTACTAAAGTATAAAGGGTCATATGTAAATAATGTTCTTTTTATATTGTTCAATTCATATCTGAGTATACAATTAAATTAACAGTTCAAATTTAAAGTTGTTTAAGTTTAGATTCTTGTGAGAAACTACCAACTAAATATCTAGCACTAAAAAGAATTTTTGTTTATGTCAAAAAGGTAAAGAAATTATAATATATGAATTACAATTCAATTAAAAACTATCTTGTTTATCATGTTTATGAAATTCAGTGTTTCTCATCAAAAGATATACAAAGTTTAGCTGGGCCATAATATATTGATATTAGTAGTTAAGCAACTTAAATCAATATTTTGAAACAATCCATATAAATTATATGGAATTATATACATTAATCAATTAGATCTAACCATAAGTCTGTTAATGCGTGTGGAATGCGTAATTTTTATACGACCGCAAAAATTTTTGCAGTCGTATATTGGTATGACGTTGGCGTCGTCGTCGTCATCGTCCGAAGACACATTGGTTTTCGCACTCTAACTTTAGTTTAAGTGAATGGATCTCTATGAAAATTTACCATAAGGTTCAATACCACAAAAGGAAGGTTGGGATTGATTTTGGGGGTTATGATACTAACAGTTAAGGAATTAGGGGCCAAAAATAAGCATTTTTCTAGTTTCCAGACAATAACTTGTGTTCAAGTGTATGGATCTCTCTGAAATTGTACCACAAGGTTCAATATTACACAGGGAATGCTTGGATTGATTTTGGGGGTTATGGTACCAACAGTTAAGGAATTAGGGGCCAAAAATAAGCATTTGCCTCAAAATTTTAGGAATTAGGGGCAAAAAAAGGGGCAAAAAAGCAAGCATTTTTCTAGTTTCATGACAATAACTTGTGTGTAAGTGTATGGATATTTCTGAAATTGTACTACAAGGTTCCATATCACAAAGGGACAGCTGGAATTGAGTTTGGGGGTAATTGCCCAAAACGTTTAGGAATTGGGGGCCAAAAAGGGGCCAAAAAACACATTTTTCTAGTTTCCAGACAATAACTTGTGTTCAAGTGTATGGATCTCTCTGAAATTGTACTGCAAGGTACCATACCACAAAGGGAAGGCTGGGATTGAGTTTGGGGGTGATGAATCATAAGGGGGTTCAAAAAATTAGGGGGGGGGATTTTTTTTATTTTTCCTTTTTTCTTTTTTTCCTTTTTTTTTTTCTTTTAAAAATTTCCATTTCATTTTAAGTTCGTTATTTCTGATTTATATTTAAAAGCAAATAATAATGATATGGTAGGAGATACACACCAAACAGGATGTGTAAATTATTATATAATAAGTTATGTTCCAGTATACATGTACATGTTGACTTTTGTTGAATGTCCCTTTGGTATCTTTCACCTCTCCTTTACCATGTTTACCTCAATCAATTGCATGCAGAAAAGTAGGTCCATAACAAAATTGGTCTTGTTTTTAAAGACTTATTAAATAGACTTATAGAAAATAATTTGTAAATCACATATCACATTTATTTACCTTAACTTTGAATGTGTGACAGGCAGGTTGATGACAGGAAATATTTGTAATGACAAATTTAAACATCAATATTTTTTGTAGGTTTTGTTCAGAATGTAAGTCAAAAGTGCTGAGAGCTTACAGTATTTTGGTTGGAGATTTGGACTGTACTAAAGAGAAGGGTTATTGTGCTGCCTTGTATGAAGGTTTACGATGTTGTCCTCAGGAACGCCACATCCATATGCTCTGTGATACAGATTTCATAGCTCATTTGATAGGCAGGGCAGAGCCAGAGCTAGCTGGAGGGTAATACTGTCAAATTATAGAATTGTTGCAATATTTTTTGATAAAAATAATCATGATAAATTGAAGTGCTTTGGTAGATAAGTAAGTAAAGGGTGGTAATTAATGTAAGACACATTCTGATAGAATTTACAATGCAATAAATGAAAATGATTCACAAAGTCATCTCTCAATTCAATACAAATCTTGTGTACAATATAGAATTCTCTTTCTCTGTAACTATTTGCTTACTGGTAATATTATCAAGCAAAGATGAACATTTGCCCCTAAAAATTCTATTTAGTTTTCATGTTGCACCTAAGAGTGTTCAGTGTCCATGTCCCTGTGGCATTCCAACTGATGCTATACAATCATTTTTTGCTAACACAGTTTTATTGTCTCATCTTTCGTCGCAGTATGCGAGACATAGGAATTACTATATGGCGGCAGCGGCGGCGTAAACTATTTGTATAAAGCTTTATATTTCAGAAGGTAGAAGACCTGGATGCTTCATATCTTGTATGCAGATACCATAGGTTACAAAGTTTCCGTCAATCATATGTCCATTGTCCTTGACCTCGTTTTCATGGTTCAGCAACTGCTTGAAAAAAGAATTTGAGTTTTTTTGTCATGTGAATTTCTCACTTATTATGAGTAATAGGATAACTATATTTGGTATATGGGTTCCTTGCAACGTCTACATGTCCGTCAGATAGAGTTCACCTGACCTGGACCTCATTTAATGGATCAGTGATCAAGGTTAAAGTTACGTGATTAGGTCCGTTTCTCAAATACTATAAGCAGTAGGTCAACTATATTTGGTGTATGGAATGATTGTAATGGGTACATGTCAGTCTGGCAGGTTTCATCCAACCTTGACTTCATTTTCATGGTTCATTGGTCATAGTCCGAGATTACTCTGACGTCCAACGGCTGTTTTGCCAGACAAGCTGGGGCCGTGGGACGTCAGAGCTCGTCCCATATCAAAAAGTGGATATTTGCCCGTCCAAAATAGATGCGCTGCTTTGTCGCTTCTGGTGCCAACGGACGGCCTTGGAATTATATAAATCGGGTATCAATTTGTTCATTTTTTTCTCATCACTTGGCTTCCGTGGTCTGTCGTCGTCGTTGTCGTCGTCGTTAGCTTTTTACAAAAATCTTCTCCTCTGAAACCACTGGGCCAATTTTAACCAAACTTGGCCACAATCATCATTAGGGTATCTAGTTTAAAAAATGTGTCCGATGACCCCGCCAACCAACCAAGATGGCCGCCATGGCTAAAAATAGAACATAGGGGTAAAATGTAGATTTTGGCTTATATCTCTGAAACCAAAGCATTTAGAGGAAATCTGACATAGGGTAAAACTGATTATCAGGTCAAGATCTATCTGCCCTGAAATTTTCAGACAAATCTGACAACCTGTTGTTGGGTTGCTGCCCCTGAATTGGTAATTTTAAGGAAATTTTGCAGTTTTTATACGACCGGTCGTATATTGGTTTGACGTTGGCGTCATCGTCGTCAGCGTCGTCCGAAGACACATTGGTTTTCACACTCTAACTTTAGTTAAAGTGAATGGATCTCTATGAAATTTTACCAGAAGGTTCAATACCACAAAAGGAAGGTTTTTGAGGGTTATGGTACCAACAGTTAAGGAATTAGGGACCAAAAAGGGGCCAAAAATAAGCATTTTTGTAACTTCCAGACATAACTTTTGTGTTAGTGTATGGATCTCTCTGACATTGTACCACAAGGTTCCATATCACACAGGGAATGCTGGGATTGATTTTGGGGGTAATTGCCTCAAAACATTAGGAATTAGGGGCCAAAAAAGGGGCAAAAAACAAGCATTTTTCTAGTTTCATGACAATAACTTGTGTGTAAGTGTATGGATCTTTCTGAAATTGTACTACAAGGTTCCATATCACAAAGGGAAAGCTGGAATTGAGTTTGGGGGTAATTGCCCAAAACGCTTAGGAATAAGGGGCCAAAAAGGGGCCAAAAATAAGCATTTTTCTAGTTTCCAGACAATAACTTGTGTTCAAGTGTATGGATCTCTCTGAAATTGTACCACAAGGTTCCATATCACACAGGGAATGCTGGGATTGATTTTGGGGGTAATTGCCTCAAAATATTAGGAATTAGGGGCCAAAAAAGGGGCAAAAAACAAGCATTTTTCTAGTTTCATGATAATAACTTGTGTGTAAGTGTATGGATCTTTCTGAAATTGTACTACAAGGTTCCATATCACAAAGGGAAAGCTGGAATTGAGTTTGGGGGTGATGAATCATAAGGGGGTTCAAAAAATTTGGGGGGGGGGATTTTTTTTCCCTTTTTTTTCTTTTTTTCCTTTTTTTTTTCTTTTAAAATTTTCCATTTTAAGTTGGTTATTTCTGTTTTATATTTAAAAGCAAATAATAATGATATGGTAGGAGATACACACCAAACAGGATGTGTAAATTATTATATAATAAGTATTGTGCAATAGCAAGAAATTTTCAATTGCACAGTATTGCGCAATAGCAAGAAATCTTCAATGGCACAGTATTGCGCAATAGCAAGAAATCTTCAATTGCACTGTATTGTGCAATAGCAAGAAATATCCAATTGCACAGTATTGTGCAAAAGAAGATACTTCGTATAAATTGCTTATTTCTTGATCAATTTCAATGGGGTTTTATTCTTGAATTCTTGGGGTTCTTTAATATGCTGAATCTAACCGTGTATTAAGTTTTTGGATTTTGGGCCCCGTTTTTAAATTGGTCCACATTGAGGTCCAAAGGGTCCAAAATTTAACTTTGTTTGATTTCATCAAAAATTGAATTATTGGGGTTCTTTGATATGCCGAATCTAACCGTGTATTTAGATTCTTAATTTTTGGTTCCGTTTTCAAATTGGTCTACATTAAGGTCCAAAGGGTCCAAAATTAAACTTAGTTTGATTTTAACAAAAATTGAATTTTTAGGGTTCTTTGATATGCTGAATCTAAACATGTATTTAGATTTTTGATTATGGGCCCAGTTTTCAAGTTGGTCCAAATCGGGGTCCAAAATTAAACTTTGTTTGATTTCAACAAAAATTGAATATATGGGGTTCTTTGATATGCTGAATCTAACCATGTATTTAGATTTTTGATTTTTGGGCCCCGTTATCAACTTTGTCCACATTGAGGTCAAAAGGGTCCAAAATTAAACTTTGTTTGATTTCATCAAAAATTGAATTCTTGGGGTTCTTTGACATGCTGAATCTAACCATGTATTTAGATTTTGGATATTGGACCATAATAGGTGAATGTCCAATTTAAAATTTTTAAGTTCTTAGACCACATTCATTCTGTGTCAGAAACCTATGCTGTGTCAAATATTTAATCACAATCCAAATTCAGAGCTGTATCAAGCTTGAATGTTGTGTCCATACTTGCCCCAACTGTTCAGGGTTCGACCTCTGCGGTCGTATCAAGCTGCGCCCTGCGGAGCATTTTATTGACTTTTGGTCTGTTTTTCAAGTACTATAAGCAATAGGTCAACTATATTTGGTGTTTGGAATGATTGTAAGGTGTACATGTTTGTCTGTAAGGTATCATCTGACCTTGACCTCATTTTTATGGTTCAATGGTCAATGTTAAGTTTTTGTGTTTTGGTCTGTTTTTCAAATACTTATAGCAATAGGTCAGCTATATTTGGTGTATGGAATAATTGTATTAAGGTGCACATGTCTGTCTGGCAGATATCATCTGACCCTGACCCCATATTCATGGTTCATTTCAATGTTAAATTTTTGTGTTTTGGTCTGTTTTTCAATTAGCATTTGCAATAGGTCAACTATATTAGGTTTATAAAAAAATTGTAAGGTGTATACGTCTGTCTGACACAATTTATCTGACCTTGACCTCATTGTGATAGATTTTTATACGCCCGTTTACGGGACGTATTATGGTATACCGTTGTCCGTCTGTCCGTCCGTCCGTCTGTCCGTCTGTCCGTCCGTCTGTCCGTCGTCAACATGTCGGACATTAACTCAAGAATGCTTTAACCAATTTGCATAAAACTTTGGTGAATTGTTTATATCTATTGACGTGAGCTCCCTTTCGTTTTTTATAAAATTTAGATTTTACGTTTCCGAGTTATGGGGTTTTATTCATTAAAAAAAGGGGGATTTTCCAGTTTTCGGACAATAAGTCAAGAATGCTTTCACCAACTTGCAAGAAATTGTGGTGAATTGTTTATATCTATTAACATGAGCTCTCTTTTGATTTTTATAAATTTTAGATTTTACGTTTCCGAGTTACAGGGTTTTATCCATAAAAAAAGGGGGGATTTTTCAGTTTTCGGACAAAAACTGAAAAAAATGCTTTCAGCAATTCTTATGAAACTTTGGTGAATTGTTTGTATGTATTGATGTAAACTCTCTTTAGAATTTTATAAATTTTACATTTAACATTTCTGAGTTATGGGGTTTTATTCATTAAAAAAAGGGTGATTTTCCAGTTTTCAGACAATAACTCAAAAATGCTGTCACCAATTCTTATGAAACTTTGGTGAATTGTTTATATCTATTGATGTAAGCTCCCTTTTTATTTTCATAAATTTCTAATATGGCATTGAGAATTAATTGAACTTTATTTGTTTATAGTCTTGACAACAGATTTACTAAGTGTTGCACAACAGCAAGAAATTTTTAATTCAATATAAATTCAATTCATATAACCAATTTAAGTTCTTTGAATACATTTATTCAGAAACCTATAATATGTCAAATATTTAATTACAATCCAAATTCAGACCTGAATCAAGCTTGAATATTGTGTCCATTTCTGCCCCAACTGTTCAGGGTCGGACCTCTGCGGGCGTATCTAGCTGCGCTCAGCGAAGCAGTTTATTTAAAATGTTAAGTTTCTGTAATGCTTTTAGTAAAACCTTTCTCTTTCAGACTTTCAACATAAAATCAATGGTCAGTAAAACAGGCAAGACATTTTAGCGTGTGCACTCTTGTTTTAAAAAATACACACTGACATGTCTGATAAATCTATGTAAAACAAAATAGATAAGGGAATTGTTATGATTTGCAGATTTTTTGACATACGAATAAAGATTTTGACATCAACACACTTTTGTAATTTGTCACTGTATTGTAGAACTCGCAGAGATAGACATGCCAAAACTTTAGACATTGCCCAGGAAGAAGTGCTGACCTGCCTTGGTATACATGTGTATGAGAGGCTGCATAGAATAGCTCAAAAATTGAAGGAAGAGGAACAGACTTGGCAGATTCTATTCTTCCTTGGAGTGGATGCTCTAAAGAAAAGCTTTGAGGTCTATATGTGTTAAATTTGCTTGAACATTTTTAGTCTTGCTCTAAACAAAAGTTGTTAAGCTTAAAATGTTGAAAATAACTTACTATGACTTGACTTTAAGCGTTGCTGTCCACCTATTGCAGTTTATTCAATACTCTGACCAAATTGCAATTTTCATCAAACCAAACTGTTCAACAGGTCAGAAATTTAAACAAACTGCTGTACAGTTCATTCGTGAAAGTGCAAGGTGATAAAATAAAGCATACTTACAATCCTATAAGACTTTAATTCCACTTTGTTGATAATATGAAATTCATGAATTTCTATACCATTTTTCATATCACTTGGAGTCAGTCGTCTGTTGTCGTCCTTCGTCGTCTGTCTGTTAACTTTTACAAAAATCTTCTCCTCTGAAACTACTGGGCCAAATTTAACCAAACTTGGCCACAATCATCATTTGGGTATGTAGTTTAAAAAATGTGTCCAATGACCCCGCCTTCCAACCAAGATGGCCAACATGGCTAAAAATAGAACATAGGGGTAAAATTCAAGTTTTGTCTATCATTTTGAAAACTGTTATAAATAGAGAAAATCTGTCTGAAGTAAAAATGTTCAGAAAGATGAGCTCTACCAATTGTTCATATACGACAAAACTGTCAGACGACATCTTCTAGGAGTAATTGCCTTTAAATGACAAATTTTACCATTTCTATCATTTTTATACGACCGCAAAAAAATTTTGCGATCGTATATTGGTATGACGTTGGCGTCGTCATCATCCGAAGACACATTGGTTTACGCACACTAACTTTAGTTTATGTAAATGGATCTCTATGAAATTTTACCATAAGGTTCAATACCACAAAAGGAAGGTTGGGATAGATTTTGGGGGTTATGGTACCAACAGTTAAGGAATTAGGGGCCAAAAAGGGGCCAATAATAAGCATTTTTATACGACCGCAAAAATTAAAAAATTTTTGGTTGTATATTGGTATGACGTTGGCGTCGTCGTCGTCATCGTCCGGCGTCGTCGTCCGAAGACACATTGGTTTTCGCACTCTAACTTTAGTTTAAGTAAATGGATCTCCATGAAATTTTACCATAAGGTTCAATACCACGAAAGGAAGGTTGGGATTGATTTTGGGGGTTATGGTACCAACAGTTAAGGAATTAGGGGCCAAAAAGGGGCCAAAAATAAGCATTTTTGTAACTTCCAGACAATAACTTGTGTGTAAGTGTATGGATCTCTCTGACATTGTACCACAAGGTTCCATATCACAAAGGAAAGGCTGTAATTGATTTTGGGGGTAATTGCCTCAAAATTTTAGGAATTAGGGGCCAAAAAAGGGGCAAAAAACAAGCATTTTTCTAGTTTCATGACAATAACTTGTGTGTAAGTGTTTGGATATTTCTGAAATTGTACTACAAGGTTCCATATCACAATGGGAAAGCTGGAATTGAGTTTGGGGGTAATTGCCCGAAACGTTTAGGAATTGGGGGCCAAAAAGGGGCCAAAAATAAGCATTTTTCTAGTTTCCAGACAATAACTTGTGTTCAAGTGTATGGATCTCTCTGAAATTGTACTGCAAGGTACCATACCACAAAGGGAAGGCTGGGATTGAGTTTGGGGGTGATGAATCATAAGGGGGTTCAAAAAATTTGGGGGGGGATTTTTTTTTTTCTTTTTTTTTCTTTTTTTCCTTTTTTTTTTCTTTTAAAATTTTCCATTTTAAGTTGGTTATTTCTGATTAATATTTAAAAGCAAATAATAATGATATGGTAGGAGATACACACCAAACAGGATGTGTAAATTATTATCTAATAAGTATTGTGCAATAGCAAGAAATTTTCAATTGCACAGTATTGCACAATAGCAAGAAATCTTCAATTGCACAGTATTGCGCAATAGCAAGAAATCTTCAATTGCACAGTATTGCGCAATAGCAAGAAATATCCAATAGCACAATATTGCGCAATAGCAAGAAATTGTCAATTGCACAGTATTGCGCAATAGCAAGAAATATTCAATTGCACAGTATTGTGCAAAAGAAGATACTTCATATAAATTGCTTATTTCTTGATCAATTTCAATGGGGTTTTATTCTTGAATTCTTGGGGTTCTTTAATATGCTGAATCTAACCGTGTATTAAGTTTTTGGATTTTGGGCCCCGTTTTTGAATTGGTCCACATTGAGGTCCAAAGGGTCCAAAATTTAACTTTGTTTGATTTCATCAAAAATTGAATTATTGGGGTTCTTTGATATGCTGAATCTAACCGTGTATTTAGATTCTTAATTTTTGGTTCTGTTTTCAAATTGGTCTACATTAAGGTCCAAAGGGTCCAAAATTAAACTTAGTTTGATTTTAACAAAAATTGAATTTTTAGGGTTCTTTGATATGCTGAATCTAAACATGTATTTAGATTTTTGATTATGGGCCCAGTTTTCAAGTTGGTCCAAATCGGGGTCCAAAATTAAACTTTGTTTGATTTCAACAAAAATTGAATATATGGGGTTCTTTGATATGCTGAATCTAACCATGTATTTAGATTTTTGATTTTTGGGCCCCGTTATAAACTTTGTCCACATTGAGGTCAAAAGGGTCCAAAATTTAACTTTGTTTGATTTCATCAAAAATTGAATTATTGGGGTTCTTTGATATGCCGAATCTAACCGTGTATATAGATTCTTAATTTTTGGTTCCGTTTTCAAATTGGTCTACATTAAGGTCCAAAGGGTCCAAAATTAAACTTAGTTTGATTTTAACAAAAATTGAATTTTTAGGGTTCTTTGATATGCTGAATCTAAACATGTATTTAGATTTTTGATTATGGGCCCAGTTTTCAAGTTGGTCCAAATTGGGGTCCAAAATTAAACTTTGTTTGATTTCATCAAAAATTGAATTCTTGGGGTTCTTTGATATGCTGAATCTAACCATGTATTTAGATTTTGGATATTGGACCATAATAGGTGAATGTCCAATTTAAAATTTTTAAGTTCTTAGACCACATTCATTCTGTGTCAGAAACCTATGCTGTGTCAAATATTTAATCACAATCCAAATTCAGAGCTGTATCAAGCTTGAATGTTGTGTCCATACTTGCCCCAACTGTTCAGGGTTCGACCTCTGCGGTCGTATCAAGCTGCGCCCTGCGGAGCATTTTATTGTAACTTCCAGACATAACTTGTGTGTTAATGTATGGATCTCTCTGACATTGTACCACGAGATTCCATATCTCAAAGGGAATGCTGGGATTGATTTTGGGGGTAATTGCCTCAAAATTTTAGGAATTAAGGGCCAAAAAAGGGGCAAAAAACAAGCATTTTTACATGGACAAATACTGTAGTACAAAACATAATTTAAAGCAGTGTAAGGGAGATAAATCAAATACATCATTTGAATTACCTCCCTTACACTGCTTTTAAATTATGTATAAAGTAATGGTTAATGAACAATTAAGACAATTTAAAACAGTGTAAGGGAGGTAATCCACATATAACGTTTTGATTTCTTCCCTTACACTGCTTTTAAATTATGTTTAAAGAAATGCATATTTATAAAGGAAGACCAGAAAAATATCTGCAAATGTTGCAACTTTTTTTTTTTTTTACAAAAAAATCCATATGAAAGATTTGACACCATATTTTAAATTCTATTATAAAATAGATAAAGTTAGCACTATGGTAAATTTAAATGGGTAATAATTGTTGCAAATTCCATTGGAAATTTGAATTGAGATTATGACCATATCTTGAGGGAAAGAATTTTTGGGGGGAAATAGGGGGGTGGTGGTGGTGGGGGGGGGGGGGGGGGGGGGGGGGTAAAAAATTGTGAGGGGTCAATTTTTTCTCATTTCAGATTTTAGAAATTAAAAAGAATTATTCTTCAAATATTTTTTTTTTTTTCAAATTTCAAATATTGAAAAATTTCAAGAAGTAATCTTTAATTGCACAGTATGGCGCATTAGATTTGTAAAATCTTTGACCACATTTATTTATTTGTTATGCCAAATCTGACCGTGTATTTAGATTTTTATACGACCGCAAAAATTAACAATTTATTGGTCGTATATTGGTATGACGTTGGCTTCGTCGTTGTCATCCTCGTCCAGCGTCGTCGTCGTCGTCCGAAGACACATTGGTTTTCGCACTCTAACTTTAGTTTAAGGGAATGGATCTCCATGAAATTTTACCATAAGGTTCAATACCACAAAAGGAAGGTTTGGATTGATTTTGGGGGTTATGGTACCATTAGTTAAGGAATTAGGGGCCAAAAATAAGAATTTTTGTAACTTCCAGACATAACTTGTGTGTTAGTGTATGGATCTCTCTGACATTGTACCACAAGGTTCCATATCACAAAGAAAATGCTGGGATTGATTTTGGGGGTAATTGCCTCAAAATTTTAGAAATTAGGGGCCAAAAAAGGGGCAAAAAACAAGCATTTTTCTAGTTTCATGATAATAACTTGTGTGTAAGTGTATGGATCTTTCTGAAATTGAACTACAAGGTTCCATATCACAAAGGGAAAGCTGGAATTGAGTTTGGGGGTAATTGCCCAAAACGATAAGGAATAAGGGGCCAAAAATAGCATTTTTCTAGTTTCCAGACAATTACTTGTGTTCAAGTGTATGGATCTCTCTGAAATTGTACTGCAAATTACCATACCACAAAGGGAAGGCTTGGATTGATTTTGGGGGTAATTGCCTCAAAATTTTAGGAATTAGGGGTCGAAAAGGGAAAAAAAGCAAGCATTTTTCTAGTTTCAGGACAATAACTTGTGTGTATCTTTATGAAATTTTACTACAAGGTTCCATATCACAAGAGGAAAGCTGGGTTTGAGTTTTGGGGTAATTGCCCTAAACGTTTAGGAATTTGGGGCCAAAAAGGGGCCTAAAAACAAGCATTTTTCTAGTTTCCAGACAATAACTTGTGTTCAAGTGTATGGATCTCTCTGAAATTGTACTGCATGGTACCATACCACATAGGGAAGGCTGGGATTGAGTTTGGGGGTGATGAA